GGGCTGCTGTAACTGGTCCAGTGAACAAAGCAGGAAAGTACCATCACACCCTCCTTCATAAGAAACCAGAGCAGCAGCAGCATGCCCATACTGGTTTCCAGYACAGAGGAAATGTGCCGTTCATGGTCTGATTGAACTGGTTGAAACAAAAGACTTGTTGAGATCTGATGGAGGAGGTTGGTGGTGAGTTTACATCTTCTGCAGCTGTTGTCACAATATGTGATGATGAACCACAGAAACACAACGTGTGAACAGTGTCACACAGTGTAAACACAACAACTACACATTATCTGCAGCTTTCTTCACTAAAATGGCACCAATGATGTATTAAAATATACACACAGTACACTTCATGATACTGTAGACCGTTAGGGAATACATTAAGCAAGTACTTTTAAGTATTTTTAAAAGCAAGTACTTACTTACTTTTACTCAAGTAAAATGTTAATGTGGTACTTTTACTTTTACTAGAGTACATTCTTGTCTGTTTATCTGTACTTTTACATAAGTACAGTGTTTGAGTACTTTCTCCAGCACTGTCAGTGTGACATCACCTGAAACATCAACACTGCTGAAGTAGGGGAGGTTTTACAGAAGGTGCTACAGATCTCAGTCTGTGGTGGGCACAGTTTCATCAAGCCCCCCACTAAAGACAAACTACACTGTGTCTGCTCTGAGTCAGGTCACAACAACTTACTGACACACTCATTCTGTTGTCTGCTGCAGTGTTGTACAAAGTACCACAAAGTGACACTTGAGTAAAAGTACAAGTATCTTATCATAAAAATACTTTGGTAAAAGTTAGTCTTCTCTAAAAATATTACTTGAGTAAAAGTCTTAAAGTATCTGATTATTTTTGTACTTATATATCAAAAGTAAATCTCCGACACAAAATCTGCTTAAGTATTAAAAGTAAAAGTACTGAGTAAAAGTGAGCTGTTAGATTTTACTAAATGACATTTATTGGGAGGTGACTTCTCTAAAAAATATATTTTCTAACAGCGTGCAGCTGTGATGGGTTGTGTACAAGCTAATAGTGTGTCAGAACGGTATATATTTATACTTCTCATCCAAACACAATTAAATTCACTCTATAGGAGACACAGTTTATCAGGATAGTACTTTTTTAAGTAATAACTCAGAATAAAACAGGAGTAACAACTTTCTACTTCTTACCTTATTAAAAAATGTAATGAGTAGAAAGTACAGATAACCAAAATTTCTACTTAAGTAGAGTAACAAAGTATTTGTACTTAGTTACTTTACAGCTCTGGTCTGCTGTAAGTGGAGAATATATCTGCTAATGTTTGAAATGTTCATGTTGTGACTTCACCAGTTCCTCTCCCAGTAAACTGAACTTAACACTGGTTATACTGCTGAACTCCATCACATACAGACTAGATTAGAAAAGTCTGAAAAACAGGTTAAGGTTGGTAAAACTGGATTATTTGGAGTCTCTGTTAGAAGTGCTGACTGTCAGATTAATCTGAATTACACTGAAAGTGTAAAGGATTAAAACTAGCTGACGCAGCGTTCTTTCACAGTTTTATAAAACAAGTTATTTTCAAACCTGATAAAGACTTTTAAAAGCCGTTGTTTTTCTAGCCTTTTATTTCTCCACACTCCCTTCTTTGACTGATATCATGACTTATAATAATTATTAGATTATTATTAGATTATTATTAGATTATTATTATTAGACAGAACATCAAACCTGACTGGACAAACACTTAAATGTTCTCTGCTCTCTACAAATACAAGTCAGGAGAAGGACACACAAACATTAAGACCCTGCTCCACTCACATGTAGCTGGGGTCTACAGCAGTGTTTCCCAAAGTTGGGGTCGGGACCCAAAGTGGGGTCCCGAAACATCAAGGTGGGGTCCTGAAAAGATTTTCTGAATTAATT